GTGCTATTTCCAGTGATCACAACTGACATATTCATGTTAGGAAAGAGTGCAAGAATTTTCCGCGCAAGATTCCTTTAACATAACTGAAACATCACGAGAAATTCATTTCACAGCCATAATTTCTTGACAAAACTGATTAAGCCCCTTTTCCAAAATCAGCTTTAAGGCCGCGATCGTGATCAGCTGCCAAGAACCAGACCCTTATCGAGTGAGAAAGAAGGCTCCCCAAGCTGTCCCGCACCACAGTGCGCGGGAATGGAGCTAACACCGTGACTTGTGCGTTGTCGGTGTTGTCATCCCTATCATTCGCGGCATACGTGACGTGTGCGCCCTCTCGCGTTCGACGTGCTCTCCCACTACGCTCCTCGTTTTCTATGGCGCTTTTTGCTTTCCCCTGGCTTCCTCATTGCACTTTTGTGTGATTATAGATTGAAATAACACACCAACACGATCCCGACACTTCCATTCGAAGCATCATGTGATGCAGGAAGAACCGATGACACGCATACGTTTTCAACACTTTGGAAAAATCTTCCCCTTGATAGGTATACGCGAGATCCAAGAGTTGGAAGTAGGCGTGTCACCTGGAAGTGACGTGCACTTGATAGAAGCTGTGTAGGTAAGCTGCTTCCAATATACATCGCTGGATATCAGCAACTGCACTTCAAGGCTCAGCAAAGTTAGCAAGATTGGAGTCTGCTCGTAAAAACATGGCAACATAGGATAGGACACCGGGATAGACACGGTTTTTCGAGAATTTTCTATTTTCAAAACAAACAATTTTTATACACTTTCTCTCCGAAGGTAATCTTAAGTCATGGAAAGAGTTCGATCTTGACGGGCCGGAAACCCTTGGCGGTGAACCGCTCCTGTTCTCAAGAAGGAATTTTGGAGAAGGCCCGTTAATGGTCTGCTGCGGCTCCGCAAACAAAGTAAAGTCGGAACCGGCCTTCGCATCATTTCGTAGGAACAGTGAGGAATTACTCAAAAATGCTTCATGCCATCTGTTGCCTTTTCTTAGAGAAGCGCAGCGAAGGTTGCATGTTTAGCAACAGGACCACGCGTCTGTCAATGCTTCGCAATCTACCAAAGAATGGCTCAAACCAAATGGTGCTGAAGCGATAGATTGGCTTGTGTGTCCTCCTTACTGCAACCCTATAGGGAGCCCTTGATCAAGGCGTTAACTTTAGCAACCGGCAGTATAATACCGCGGATGAACTGAAGGCGGCGGTAGAGGCTATTTGGGCCGACAGCGACGAAACAGCTATGCCAAACGTGGTTCAGATTATGCCGGACAGGATGTTTGAGCTAATTAGAAACTCTGGAGGCCCCACTGTTTCTAATCTCAGCTGTTTTGTCTTTGTTGAGTGCCCAGTGGCAAGTTGGAAGATACAGCCGCTAGAAGGGAAATGATCATCCAAAATGAAAAGCCAACAGCAAACAGCCCATCCAGATCATCAACAGAACTAGTGGGCGTCACGTCGCATAGGGCGGGGCGTCGCACGGGTCCTGCTCAGCAACCACAGCACCTTCCGCCGTGGGAGGGCCACACATCGCTTCCTTGGCAGCCAAGTAATTGCCCCGTGTGGCGCACGTTCTCCCCGGATGCGTGAATTCCTTATCGTAAT